GGGTGGTGGGGGTGGTGGTGGTGGTGGTGGTGGTGGTGGTGGTGGTGGCAGGTGGCAGAAGCCACAGGTGGTGGTAGCAGCAGTAGGCGCAGCAACAGCAGCAGCAGGTCGTCGTCGTCATAGTAGCAGTAGCAGTAGTAGTAGTAGTAGTTGTTGTTGTTGTAGTACCAGCAGCAGCCGTAGTCGTGGTACTAGTAGTCTTGGCAATCGCTTCTTGCACATCTGCAGCATCGGACTGTCTCAGCAGGCCATGTCACCCTACCAGAAGGTCGAAGCACTGCCCGGCACTCTGCTACTGCATCAGATGGGAGTGTCAGAAAAGGCATGGAACTGAATATCGCTGAAGCAGGGTCGGCAACCTCAGGACACCTCGAAGCATCTCTTAAATCTCAAAGACCTGTGCAGCCTCGCTTTGATTGCGGATAGGGACACGGGTTTGCAGTTTCAGTTCGGTCATTGGAGACTATCTCCCTGCCAAGCTTTCATGTGAAGGCGTGTAACCCTCAACCCTAACCTCTAATTCTCAGAGTTTACTCACGACTGGAGCTTTCAATTTTGAGCTATGTCTTTGTATGTATACGGTACACATATATACAAATATATATATATATATATATATATGTATATATATATATATATGTATATATATATATATATGTATATATATATATATATGTATATATATATATATATATATATATATCGGTTTTCACAAAAAACCGAGATTCAGAGTTCTGTTTCGGAGTCTGCAGTGCCGGTTCTTGATGCTGGCCGATGGCGTTGTGGTTTTCAGGGTTTCCATACATACACTTGTAGAAGGAGACTGCGCCTGCAGGCTGTAATGGCTTGAATGCAGACTGGACAACCTGTCAGTCGCCCTCGCAGCTGCTTAAAGGGAACTCCAGAAAGTTGGAATATGGTTTCAGGGTAGGATACCTTATAATTTACCATAAAAGGTTTAGGATAATCATATTCCAACTTTCTGTGCTTTTACTTTAACCTGGAGGGTTCTTGTGCGACTGCCAATAAAGTCTGCGCCCCGGAGCATACAGAGGTGTGCAGGAGGGTCGCCAGAACATAAGGAGCAACTGTAACCTTCAAGCACCCTGCTTGAATCCTGAGAATGTCCGCTGAAATACAATAACGTAGGACTTTATAGACTTCAGCAGATGATATCTGCAGGGAGAGTATTGACAACATTTCGTTTCGACGGAGGCCGTGTCTTACTTGGTTACTCACATCTTTGCGACTGCTCAACTATCGAAGCTCCCTGTCTCTGATACTGCTTATGCTTGTTCGATGCTTCCTATTTTCGACTGATGCTGGGGAATCAACGCACACTGTACCTTCCCTCTAGCAATAACAGCACCGGCACAGGAAACTGCAGCAACAAGAACAGCAACAAAATCAACAGCAACGAGAACAATCACAGGCGCACCTGCATCGACAATGACACAGACAATGTAATAAGAGCTACAGCAGCGGTTGCAGCAGCAGCACCGACAACAACAAGAGCAGCAACAACACCACGACCGCTGCCATTTCCCCGCCACCATCACCAACAAAAACTTACTGCTACTGCTACTGCTATCGCAACTTATCGCTACCGTCACTGCTAGTGCTACTGCTACTGCTGCTGCCGCTTCTGCTACTGCTACGACTGCTTCGGCTTCTGCCGTCAACTAAAACGACGACGCGAAAACTGCTGCTTTCGCTACTTCGACGACGACTACCACTGCCCCTACCCCTAACCCCCATCCATGCTGTTCCTGTTACTACTACTGCTAGTTCTACTGCTACTACGACTGCTGTTGCTGCTACTAGTTACTACCCTAAGGCCCGAAAGTAGTTCCTTTTTGGGGCTCATATTTACAATCCTGTAAGGTAATCTCAAAAAGGAACTACTTTGCGGCCTGTGGGCAAACTACAACTGCAGCAGAAACAGGCTGGATCTGCCTGGCGTGGCAGGCTTACCCTCTAATCTGAGGCGCGATTCTCCAAGGTCATGCAACGGGTGTTTTCGGGGTTGCGGCTGAGCGCTTTCGGGGTACTTGGAGATTCATGGTAGTTATAAGTGGGTTATAATTAGGGCAACTATGGTTAGAACCGCTATCAGTGGACTTCTTATTCCATTTATAACTACCCATGAACCTCCAAGTAGGGCTTGCAGGGTTTAGGCACCAAGGTCCGAAAGACTCGAAGTTTCGATGTCCTATGACACACCGAATTCCCTCGCCCTGAAGCCTAATGCCCGAAGTCCTGCAATCGGAGGGGTGATCACCGATTTGTGTAGTTGCTTTTTGGCCTGGAGTCCTGTAGTAGAGTTTAGGGTGTCGATCTGGTTTTGCTTGCGAGTCTTTTGGTTGAGATGTCTTGTGAATTATCCGTTCCTCTCAAAGCCTTTGCTGCTCAACCCTTGTACTGAATGATCACACCGCATGTACCTCCAGTATGAAAGACCTTGTATACTTCAATTTCATCTTGCATCGCTGAGTGTTCAAGGCTGTTGGAGCTTTTTTTGGAAGTCTGCACGGAGGTTCAAGGAATTCAACTCTTCCGTCAGTTCAGCCGAAAAGCAGGAAAGCCCCAACGCGCATATGAGCAGCCCCTGTCCCTACCTGGGTTTGCATTGCAGGGGACAAAGTTGAAGTAAGCAAGAGGTACCCAAAAAGAGAGCAACCTTGCCTCGCAAATCCTAAGACAATACGCCCTAAACCAAAGAAATCCTCACTAAGCCGCGCTTGCAGTGTGCGGGTGTGCGAGTCGAAGCGTAATAAACCTCAATATGCCGATGTTGGGCTTAGGGGCTGAGTAGATAATCTCTAACCTTTTGAGGCTTATATAATCCTATTATGATTCGAAAGGTTAAACCTTTTTGGGCTAGGGTATTCAGCCACTAGGTGAATTTGAGGATCGAGCCGTTTGATGGTCGTGTGGCGAATCACACCTGGGGTGCTGGGGGTTCCCAAAGACTCCACTATCACATAATTAAGGAATATACCTTAAGTTATTATAGAATCCCTAATATGCTTTAAGGTATATTCCTTAACTAAGGCGTATTGGAGTCTCTGGGTTCTTCAGGGTCCTTACAATTGGACAATAAGCTGCAGTTCCCCTAAACCCAAAACCGCTAAACCCTACAGCGAACCTCTCAATCCTACACGCTTTTGCCTACTGCAAGACCTAAACCCGTAACTCTTTAGACCTTGAACTTTACAGTGGTTACGAATAGCACACCCACGGAGTTTAGGATCTATTTTGCACCATTCTTCCGGAGCTTTTGACCCCCAAGTTGCTGCAGTTAAAGGTTTAGAGGATTAAAGCTGAAGAGCCTACGGTTTGAGGGTGAGATTTTGGGAAGAAGTTTCAGGAATTTGGGGCCCCAGCATTCAGGAAAGGTACATCAGGACTTTGCTGCCGCGATTGTTGCCCAAGTTTTACTTGGGGTGAACATGCCATGATGTGCACACAAGTAACGTTTCAACCCCGAATTCCGTCATTATCTGCATTTGTTTGGTCCTATCATTCTTGTTTGTGCGTTCTGGTTGCAACCAGGTGGAGCCAATCGGGGTCGTGATCTGTAAGTGCGAGGTTTGGGCATTCACAATCTATAGGGTTGCTTTCACGATGTACCGGTGTACCGTACAAGTAAGTTGGTTTACACAGCTAGCCACTCGCCGAGCCACAGCTATCCAAAGCTACTCGCGTCGGGTGCCGGCTGGTCGCCACCATGAAACTTGGAGTTCAATTCATGTTTCAGTCTTGCGGCTCTGGTAAGACGAAATATCTGGGGCCTTCCATGATCAGAATAGGAGTTTGAGTTTGGAGTATCTCGTTTAGACCCAGGAACCCCAAGGAAGAATATTATGTTTTGTTCAGCTCCCCATAGCAACCTTGCCTGATCGAGGCTTGAAGCGTTCGGCTCCCGGATTTGTGCTAGCGAAGGTTTCTTGTCAGCGTATGGGAGAGCTGTACTTCATCGTACTCCGATCATGGGTAACTTGCTCGAGCAAGCCTTACACCCTCAACTGTAAACCTTAAGACTGTGCATGTCTTGAGGCGAGCGCACACTGGTTCTCGAGGGGGTTAGTTTCTGTGGGTCCTAATTTTTTGGGTTGTTATAGGACCGGAGTTTCACGGTTCTCATGTCGCATCCGCGAACCCACCATCTCCAAGACTGTAGCTTTGTTCCGATGGTATAACAAAGACCCTAAACTCTAAACGCTAAACCCACAAGTCTTGAAGCCAGGCATCTCCCCACTCTTGTCGGCAATGTGAGCTGCTTTGTGGCCACTGGTTCTCGAAGGCTGTGCCGTAGGGGTCGTGAGAATGAGGATCCTGGGTCCTCGACCACATCGTGTAAGACCTTGATACATGAACCACCAGTACTTACTGGAAGACCCACAACATGAACTTTGAACCCTCAACACCAGACCCTAAACCATTGAAAGAAAGTTATAGTTATGATCGTTCAATCGGCCTGAATTCGGATTTGTTGCCCTCGCCACTCTTTTGACCCCTGACAACTGGACCTAGACCCTTTAACCATCAAGCCCGAAAACCCAAAAGCTTAGCCCCTCTAACCCTGCACCCGAACCCCCTATACCCGTACCTTCCTATAGCCTATACCTTCGAACCACTGAGGCCCTAAAGCTTGACTCAGAAATAACGGAGCCCAATTGAGACCCGATCCTCATGCACAGACCCGCGCAAAAGGAGCTGCTTCGTCGACCCATGCAACCCTAAACTCAACTCCCTGAGCCCTAACCCGGTAACCCTGAGCCCCATAACCCTAGACCCCTATAACCCAAAACCTAGCAGAAGAGCCCTATACCCTTAACCCTGGGTCCTCTTACCCTAAACCCTGAGCCACGGTTTAGGGCTTAGGGTTTAGAGTTTAAAACTACCAGGCGTCCTTGCAAGCAAGCCTGCAGCAAAAAAGGGTTTAGAGTTTAGGGTCTAGGGTTTATTGTAACCCAAAATACTGACCCTCACCTTCAATGGCGGCCATTGCGCCGGGTCTTCTGCGCCTGCGCCCGCCGGACTCGAAAGTCGAGCCCGAGCTCGGTGCGAAAGAGGCCTTTCCCATCGGGTCCTACGGTTGATGATATAAATCCTGCATTACCGTAAAGACCCTAAACTATGGGAAGTATGGTATATTCCTGATTATGGGTAATGCAGGATTTATATCATCAACCGTAATGAGGCCTTTGGGGTTTAGGGCCTTTCATTAAGGCCTTTAGGGTTTGGGGCCTTTAAGCCTGTAGGGTTTGGGGGAGATTGCGAGGCTCAGGGTTTTATGGGTTTGGGGATGTTGGGGGTTTCTTTATGGGGTTTTGTGGGTTCTGTGCGCAAGGAGGCCAAGGAGGCCTTTACTAGGAGGTTATGCTGTTTGTAGGTTTTCGGGTTCTGAGCTTTGGTATTCTAGCAGGAACGAGGAATTGCTATTCTGGTTGGGAGAAGTATCCCCCATCTGGATACGTCGAACTTTCTGGACTTACCAGGAGATTGTGGGGTTTGGGGCTTACAGGGTTTTGGGGTCTACGATGGTTTAGGGGTTCAGGGCTTATAGGGTTTTAGGGTTTAGGGCCTTTGTGGCCTGTCAGAACCTCTTGTTAAGGCTTACCGTCTCGGCTTCGGGGCTTGTTGATCCTTACTGGGTTCATCAGCATTTTTTAGCCTGCATGCTCTTGGGGGATGCTCTTGAAAGCTTGATTACTATAGACTGCCTTGACGAAACTTGCATGGAATGCTTTACCCGAAACCCCTAGTTCACTTGCTGAACCCGAGCTTGTACTCAACACTGAGCCCTAAAACCCTGCGCGTGGACGGGAGGCACGGCCTGCACGGTGAACTCACACCAAACAGCCACCCCGGGCAGCAAAAAGCTGTTCAACAGGCCACCTATATCCTGCAATCTCAATGTTCTGGAGTCTTTTAACCCTTTCAACCCAAGACGAGCCTTTGGCGCCCAAGACCCGAAACCCGAAGCCCACCCCCAAATCCAAGCCCGAAGCTTAGTTCCCCATCGGAACCCTTATCATAACCCTGGTAATGGCACCCTGTAACAGCCAATATGGTCACCCTAAACCCGAAGACATAAGCTAGCAAAAAGCGGCTTCCCTTAAACCACACCCTGAATCGTAAGACAGGGGCGATCTTTCTACCCACCACCGAAGTCGCAGCGGGCCTCGTCTGCGGGGCTGCTGCCCCCCTCAGATCTGGAGGTGAAGACGTCCGAGGATTTTAGGTTTGAGGGGTTCCGCTTATATAAAGGGTTTCGAAACGGGCTGCAGTGGTTGAATTAGGATCCTTAGTTGTGGTCGGGATGTGGAGTTTTGGGGTTTGGTGGGATGCTTGTAGACGGGTTCTCTCAAGGGTTTCCACAAGTTGTTGATGGGGTTCTTAGCAGGATATGCCTTTGAGGGAGCACGGCTTCAAGCTTCAGAGTCAGGGGGGTTAAAGTTTATGTGTTTAAGGCTTTGGGGTTGAGGGCTTGAAGGTTTGGTTGTTCAAGGTTCAGGGTTGGCGGTTCAGGGGCTCGGGTTTCTGGGCATCAGGGCTTTAGAGTTTAGGGGTTTGGGGTTTAGGGTTTATCGGTTTAGAGTTTAGGGTTCAGGGGGTTCAGGGCTTGAGGGTCAAGGCTTTAGAGCTTTGGGTTTAGGATTGAAAGAAATTTGAGCGGTCGGGGTCGCTACGTCGGTTCTACTAGGGTTCCTGAAAGGTAAAGAGGATTAAGAGTAAGAGGGCAGGATTCAGATGTCTGCGTTAGATTGATGAGGCTTTCGGATTTGGGGTGGTTTCTTGTGGCTCGCATGCATCATACTGCCGTTCCCCTTCCTCTTGTTGTCTCTGCCCCTAAACCCTAAACCCTAAAGCCCCTAAAAGAGTCTCTGCCGTTTTCCTGCTTGTCTGTATATCTGCCTTGGTGCTGCATTTCAGAGCGAACCGCCTGTGACCCCGGCGGAGTTGTTGCCTGATCTTTCGACTCTGCTCCTTGCATTCTGCAGGAGTATAGGGATTAGTGACTCTACCTTAACCTACCAAACCCTACAAAAAAGTAGGGTCCTTATAAATTCCATATTAAGGTTCAATACTAAGAACCTACAAAAAAGTAGGGTTTGGTAGGCTAAGGTATATTGTATGTAGAGTTGTTCACTCAGGCCTCGTTGGTTGGTAACAGCACTGCACAGCATAGTCCGCTTAACCCTAGTCAAGGAACCTCTTCACACGATTGACCTTTTCCGTTTATAGTCGCTACATAACTATGCAGTACAATCACCATGGTGTGTATATGTAGACATATGTCTACAGAGATAGATAGATAGTGCCGGCGATGTGAGAGGGACACAAGACAGATAGACACAAACGTTCCTGAACGCATGCATCAGAAAACACTGTGTACATATATATATATATATATATATTTATTTATTTATTTATTTATTTAAAATACATACTCAAATGTGTGAGTGCATATACCAATGTACCCAGAGGTTCCATAGTAGTTCCTTTTTGGGGTTACGTACCTTACAGGATTCTAAATATGAGCCCCAGAAGGGAAGTACTATGGAGCCTTAGGATAAACATCACACTTCCCAGCGCCAATGCTAAAACCCTAGAGCCCTACAAGACTCAAGCGCAAAACCTGAAATACGATCCAATTTTACTACCCCAAGACGCGGTCAAATCCTGGCAGGAGCGGGGCAAAAGCCCCGTCAAAGAAAGTCCGAGCAAGTCAACACCGACTGCGGCCAAGGAGAGCGAGTCTAGGCTCTAGGGCTTGGAGGTTTAGCTGGTTTCTCTGGCCTTGAATTGAAGAGTATATGTTGATTGTGTTGATGAGTTGTTTTTTTGTGATCTTCTTGTTGGCTTCAATTTTATGAATAACCGAGGTGGGGGCCTTGGGGTTCAATGATTGGTGCGGGTGTAGCGGTCAAAACCCACAAAGGAGCCAAGTGTTCAAGCAGAGACGAAGTCTGCAACATCCCCACTGTCTTCAATGCGAAGAATGATCCGATGTTTTGGGGGTGTCTTTGCGATGTACGGTTCTTGTTTTCTGGTGCCTCTCACTGTATCCCGAATAATCTGGAACTCCTCGAAACTCCTCAACCTGGCAACACCTTCGAACGGTGAATCCTAGTTCAGGCACACCAGACAGCCAAAGGCACGAGAGTGTTTGATACATCCTACACCGTACTATACCTTAGCTCAAATCAAAGCCGAAGCCCTGCATAATTTACGGTGCATGTCCGTATGGAGGATGAATTTCGGGTTCGGGTGGCAAAACCCCCTGAACCTCACAACGTCAAACCCCACACGACAGCCTCAACGCCAAAATCTTAAGTGCCAGAAACCCTAAGAGCCGAAAACCTAAACCTTAAACCCTTAAGCACTTAAATTTCACTTAAATCATGAAGCCCGACGAGCCGAACACGTTAAACCCTGAATCCCCAAAAACCTTCCCAAAGGCTCCATGTACCTTTATAGGGTTCCTTTAGAGGGTTCCTTTAAGGTTCCTTTAAAGGGTTCTATGGGGTTTAGGAAATAAGGGTCCATGGTACCTTTTTAGTAGATACTTAAGCCTTAAAGGGGTCCCTATATGGGTACTTTAAGGCCTAAGTATATACTATATGGGTACATGGAGCCTTCGGGCTTGGGCCTGTCTCGGCGTAAGGAGCCCAGGGCGCGGGAGTTTGCGCTTCCACGTGGCCGGAGACCTCCGGAGGGCGCCGAAGCCACTTGCGTTCTATCAGGGCTTGGGGTCTAGGGTTTGGGGTGGTAGGGCGTGGGGTTTTGTGGATTTAGGGTTTGGGGTCTTAGGGTTTGGGGTTTAAGGATGTTTGAGGTGAAGGGGTTCTTGGATTCTGTCAGGGATCATGTTTAAGCACTCTAAAAGGGTTGTATAAGGGGCTACGAAGGTTTTCTGTCGAGTTGGGACTCGTCTCTTGAAGATCTATGGTCTCGAAGGGATTGAACGGAGTTTGCGGTTATAAGATGCCTTGTAGGGGAGGTGTTGACCGTCGAGACTTTACTGTAGGTTTGGATTCCTGGTCTGTGGGAACTCACAGCTTGGGGGTTTAGACCCTGAGCCGTTACTTAGGACTTCCGGTGCGGGACCTTTATTTCCAAAACGCCTTGTTCGTCTTCGGGATTTGGGGTAGAATGTTAGAGCTTATCCGGCATGGGGGGGTGGGGGGGCATCCAAGCCTTTTCTAGAAGCATGGGTTCCAAAAATGATTTATGGCTTAACGGTTTCTGATGTTGAGGCTTTATTGCACTTGGGTGGTGGAGTAAGCCAGGAAATGCTAGATAAGTGACGCTGCACAGCCGGTCCGAGTGTAAGGCTACTGATATGAGAGAATATTGGGGGGAGGTTCCTTACTATAAGTATAGTACAGTATCCCCCCAAATCCCTGCTGAAATTATTAAGGCCCCTACATTACACTTGTTTTGTTGTTGCTTCGGTGTCTCAGGGTTTATGGTTTGTTCTACTGTGGCCGTACTATTCCGGCATTGAAATCTGTAGCATCCGGAGTAAATGCCAAGCGTATGGAACCTGTATCCGATGCTCGCACACACGCACAGCTTACAGAGCATTGCTCCTGAAATCCAGACCCTGGACAGCGCCACCTTACTTCTGCTAGCATGTTGCTGCATTCAGAGGTAAAACAAGCTCCGCCGAAACACGAGAAAGTGGCTGACTTGCGGTCCAAGCTGCAAAAGGTGCTTTGGGTTCAGGATTTCGGATTGCACCACCCTAAACCCTAAGCCCTAAACCCTAAACCGGTCGTACCCAAAGCAAAGTGGCGCAGCGAAGTTGCTGCGGGCGACCCCGCCCCAGTTGCACGTGATGGTAAACCTTAGGGGCTGAGTAGGTAACGTTTAACCTTTTGGGGCTTACATAGTCCTACTATGATTCAAAAGGTTAGCCCTGTTTGGGCTAGGGTACTCAGCCACTAAGAAACTCTCGTCGTTTCGATCATCATTTCGTTTTTAAGGCCCTGTGCCTTGACTTGCGTGACACCTTATCACGACACACACACACACACCTAAATGAATTCGTGAATCAGTATAATTATACTCCAGGTTACACAGAGGCAGCGAGGCACGATTAGGATAGAAATTGACCTATTTCTATGTGTCCAGTTGTTTTGTGTGAGTGAAGTTTCACTCCAGGCAATGACAGCCCTAAACCTTACTAAACCCACATACTCAACCCCAAACCTCAACCCGAAAAGCCCACAAGCCGGAGCTCTTAACCTTAAACCCCTAACTAAACCCCATCCTATTTGCCCTAAACCCTGTAGACCCTATATACCCACAAGACTGCCAATCTCCGGTGCTTAGAACATGGGCAGTATATGGTAATGTAGACTTTGGAAAGCTTGTTACAGTATCTCATTACTCTCCCTATATACTCATACTATGGAATACTATAGAATATACAAAAATGAAGCTGCAGTTGTTCTGGCCCCTATGCCTATTGCCTATCGTGTGCAGTTCGCACGGCCCATCTTCAGCTGCGCAACACTAGGAAAGCCTTTGCCTAAGCCGCCCCATCGACAGAACAGGGTTCCATTCGGGGTTCTCAAAACAGGTCTAAAATGCTCCCTGCATGGGATAAACAGGTTTAGCATAGGGGCATTTAGTTAGATGAGCAGAGATTGTAGATTTGGGTGGTTGTCAAAACTAGCCTCCTTATTTGGGTCCTTATTATAATACGGCACCTAATATCTAAGGTACCCAAAAAGGGACCATCATTTTGACAACCACCCATTTGGGGATGAAGGACGTGACCCGAAATTTGTCAGCAAAGTCTGAGCTGCTGGTACTGCTGATGGACAAAATCCTGCATGACCCTAGGGACTCTAAGCTATGGGAACTATGGTATATTCCTTGTAATGGGTAATGCAGGGTTTTGTCCATCAACAGTATGTGCAGAGGCGCTCCTCGAGACGGGCCGTGTGTCATCGGCGAGCGCGGCTTATCTCAGTTCAGAGATCAAGCGAAGGTCTCTTTAAACCCAAAGGCCCCAAAGTAGTTCCTTTTTGGGGTTCATATATAGAATCCTATAGGGTGATCCCCAAAAGGAACTACTTTGGGGCCTGTGGGTAACCATTACATGCGAGTCTGAACACTTTGTATTTAAATCTCCTCATGATCCCTATATGCCTATGCTGATACTGTCTTAGCCTACACCCGACATCCTATTGGACTTGTTCAGGGTCCCAATTTCTTTAGGGTGGGTGTTTCGAATTGTGCCCCGTGATGACAATGGTTTCCAGCTGCACGAGGGCTTTTCTGCTGACGCTTTTAGGTTTAGGGTTTTGGGTGAGGCTGTTAACACAAAGCGAAGCAAAAGCAATACTCAGAGCTGTGTTCACTGCGTTGTACAGCAGGGGCGATACAGGCGGGAGAGCTGCGAAACCTTCATCTGCAAGGGTCCCTGCTAGACCCTAAACCCTAACCCCTAAACCCTAAACCCCTAAGCCCTAACCCTTAAACCCCTAAACCCTTACCTTTAAACCCTAACCCCTAAGCCCTAAACCCCTAAACCCTTACCCTTAAACCCTAACCCCTAAGCCTTAAACCCCTAAGCCCTAACCCCTAAACCCTAAACCCTTAAACCCATACCCTTAAACCCTAACCCCTAAACCCGAAACCCCTAAACCCTTACCCTTAAACCCTAACCCCTAAACCCTAAACCCGAAACCCCCGAAAAAGAGCCGTGTAAAAAAAAAAAACCGAAACCCCTAAACGTCCCCCATGCGAGGAGTCAGAGCTCTCGCTGCGCCGCGGACAGCGGCCGAGGCAGCCGCGTCTCCGAAAGTTAGCATGAAGCACTCGGTTTAGGGTTAGAGTTTAGGGTTTAGGGATAGAGTTTAGAGTTTAGGGTTTAGGGTTAGATAGAGTTTAGAGTTTAGGGTTTCGGGTTTAGGGTTCTGAAGCACCATTACAGTAAGCTGGCGCTTAGGCAGGTAATCTGCAGCCTTCTGTAACATCGCCATCTTTGCTCACTTTTTGAGGCAGTGGTGAAGGAACCAGGGCTGCTATTCAAAGCGGTTTGCATGTTCGTGGGTTGATGTTTTGCGGGGCTTAGGACTTACCCTGATGCTCCTGGACCCTTGTAGTGAGATCCCAAACCCTAGCCCCTAAAGCCGAAAGCCCAAGACCTTCTTGGCGGCCTTAGGGTAGGGTTTAAGATTCATGTGTTTAGGGAATCTTTGTGTTGAAGCTCTTCATCATGCTTTGTGACTTGACTGCCCAAGCTCCGCGTAGGGTTGTCTCGCGAGGAGAAGCTTTAGCATCTTTCGGGATGATTAGAATAGGCTTTTGGGGCCCACTATACTATAATTGCAACATGGAATCCCCAAAATAGTATCGGTAAGTATTAGGACCTTCATATTAGGTTAGATCATGCTGTCAGGCCACTCAAGTCGGCTTTTTCCAAACTTTCCCTGAGCTCCGAAGGTAGGTGGTTGAAAACTGCACAAGAAGCATACTGTTTCAATGAATGCCTCGGCCCAGCAAGCAGGCACTTTTGCAAAGAAGGTCCTTCAGCCGACAGCTCCAAGCAGAACAGCTCTACGGCGCTCAAACCCCGACTGGTCAGAGGAGATGTGCGCATGCGCTACAATTCGTTGTTTAGCTCAGGGTTGTTTAGGAACACATCAGTATTCGTGCCCTAAAACAAATCCTCAATAGCCTAACGGCCAAAACCTCGAAACCCTAAATCCCTAAACCCGAAACCTTCCATCGGCGGTTGAATGCGCCGAGCGTGAACACATCGCCAGGCTCCGGCCACGAATGCGTCGCCAGAGCCTGGGCATGACTAGAACAAAGACAGCTGTCGGAATACTGAGACTACTTCCTACGGTCCCCTATTGAAAATATCCTATTCTTTCCCCAAACCCAGATCGAGTTATTTGAGGCCCCAGTATTGCTTGTTGTCATGCTAACAAATAGAAGCGCCTGTGCCTGTACACAAACGTCTACATGTACCGGCTTTTGAACACTAAGTACTATAGCATGCAGAAACCAGGCACTTATAATCACGGGGAGCCCAAGAAGCACCCAAACATAAACTTTCGGAGCGGATATCCCTATCTTATTGGTTTATTAAAGAGGGGTTTCTGCGATATCCCTTTTTTGTTTAGGTCCTTATCTGGGTCCCTATTAAGAAGAGCTACGAGAATCGGTTGGAAGCAGAAGCATCGAGAGCTGCAGCAATAAAGTTGCGCTTCAGGAACGAACCCTAAAACTCCAAATTTCCAAACCCGTAAACCCTCAAAGCCTCGCCTGGATTGTCCGAGTGTGAGAAGCCCTTGAAAGCCCTAGACCCTAAACCCCTTGGTGCTGGCGTTTCCTGGGTCGTGTCTGACAGCTGCCCTGTGAGTGAACCGACTTACAGGGTCGTTAATGAGATTCGTCGAACCTACTTCTGCAGACCTTGCCAGGCTTGTCCGAGAGTGAGTGTCAAAAAAAAAGCCCCTAAACCCTTAAAACCCCTAAGCCCCCTAAACCCTTAAAACCCCTAAAAAAAAACCTTAAAGATCTAAGCCCCTAAACCCTTAAACCCCTAAACATCCCTAAACCCCTAAAGCCCCTAAAAAGCTCCTAAGCATCCCTAAACCCTCAAAGCCCCAAACTCTTAAAGACCTAATCCCCGGAACCCCTAAACCCTAAAGCCCTTAATCCCTTAAATCCCCTGAACATCCCTAAACCCCTAAACCCCTAAATCCCCAAGCCCTAAACCCTAAAACACCTAAAAGACCAAGCCCTAAACCCTTAAAACCACTAAGCCCCCTAAACCCGAAAACCCCTAAACCCCCAAACCCCCTAAAATCCCTTCAACCCCTAAACCACCAAACATCCCTGTACTCCTAAACCCCCAAACCCTTACACCCCTAAACATCCCTAAACCTTTAAACCCCCTAAATCCTTAAACCTAAAGCCGTAAAGCCCTTCAAGACCTAAACCCCAAAACCCTAAACCCTAAGCGAAAAAACCGAAAACCCAAATGCTTCAGACAGCCTATAGGTCATATTATCATTAGTCTTTTTAGGTATATCTTTACAACTACATTTTAGGTTTATATCTATAGGAGATCTCCTTAATGGTCTTTACATCTAGATCTTGGTATAACATCCCCAGGAAAGCCCCAAACCTAAACCCTTACACCCCTAAACATCCCTAAACCTAAACCTAAACCCTAAAACCCTAAACCCCTAAAGCCCCTAAACATCCCTAAACCTAAAGCCACAAGCCCTTAAAGACTTATACCCTAAAGCCCTAAACCCCTAAAACCCATAAACATCCCTTAAACCTAAAGCCACAAGCCCTTAAAGACTTATACCCTAAAGCCCTAAACCCCTAGAGCCCATAAACATCCCTTAAACCTAAAGCCACAAGCCCTTCAAGACTTATACCCTAAAACCCTTAACCCCTAAAGCCCCAAAACATCCCCAAACCTAAACCCCCAAGCCCTTAAAGACTTATACCCTAAAACCCTAAACCCTTAAAGCCCCAAGTGCTTCAGACAGCCCAGCCTTATACCCCTAAACATCCCCAAACCCTTAGAGCCCCTAACATCCCTTAAAAACCTCAAAAGATCCTTAAACCCTTGAAAAGAACACCCTAAACCCCTAAACCCTAAACCCTTAAAGCCCCTAAGACATCCCTAAACCTAAACCCCCAAGCCCTTAGAGACCTAAACCCTAAAACCCTAAACCCCTAAAACCCATAAACATCCCTTAAACCTAAAGAACACCTTAAACCCCTAAAACCCTAAACCCCTTAAAGCCCCCAAGTGTGCCCAAAAGGAGCTCCTCGGAGCGAAGCTCCAGCTCGGGTTGGGCCGGAGGTCTCCGGTCGATCGCTTCGGAGGCTCTGAGACTTTCCTTGTCCTTCGGAGGGCTTAGGTGCTTAGCATTTAGGGTTTAGGATTTAGGGCGTAGGATTTAGGGCTTAGGATTTAGGGTTTAGGGTTTAGGATTTCTGCCGGACAACGAGGCCTGCTGCAAAACGGATTTAGGATTTAGGGTTCAGGTTAGGGTTTGACTGTAGGGGGTGGATTCGAGTTTAGGGCTTTAGGGAGGTGCTACAACGATTCCTTCAAAGGTCCCTATAGTGCAGTCTGTATTCAACCCTACTTATTCTACATATATCTCATTGAGCCTTCAAGCCTGCTCTAGGGTTGCTTTAGGGCTTATGCCGCTAGCTTGTAGGCCCTAGTATACTATGTCTGCACTTCTTTTCTATACCCCGATGTCCTACTCTACTACATATCATCAACGGCCCTACTTTAGCGCATGTGTTGGTCGGCTCTCTCAGCCTCCTTGCGTCACCCTGGTCTGGCCAAGGCTGTTTGGGCTTTGAGGGTTCTCAGGCGATGACGCGGGAGATGTCTCTATCGCTTAGAAGCTGCCCCACCCTGTAATAGTGACTATAAGGATGATATTAGGGCCCTAGTATATTCCTATTATACCACTATTACAGGGTAGGGGCAGCTTCTAATCTATTGCTTTTGTTTCTTCTTTCTCTACCCCCTCAAGCCTCCGAGTTGCAAGTGGCCCTAAACCCTAAACCCTTAACGAATGTGACCGTAAGTTGGCCATCCCTCCTGGCCTACTGGCCTTCTTGGAAGCTGCTGACTGCTGCTTCGTGGAAAAAGTGGGAGTTTCCGAAAATTAGGGGTACGTTATGTTGGGGTCTTAAAATAAGGATCCTGCTATTTGGGGTACTATATTAGGGTCCCCGATTTTCGGAAACCCCCAAGTAGCTAAAAAAAGGAACCTAACGAATACGGGCTGTTGCCTCGGGCAGAAAGTCAAAGCACGCCGAACCACAAAGCTTCTAAGCCGTATCCACAAGTCCTCGACCAAACATGATGCGGCAAAAGGCACAAACCCAACATCTTCTTGACTGAATCCCTAAATGCATCTAAACTCTAAACCCTGAGTCTTGGTGCTATGTCGCACAGACTTTTCATCCCGAAAGCCGAAAGCCCTTAAACTTCGAACCTAAATCTCCATGGATGGATGAGGCGAGCTCTACCTCGGCCCCTCCACGCAAGGGCAAGGGCTACGGCAAGGGCAAAGGCGCCGTGAGTTTAGGGCTTGCAGGGTTATGCTGGTGTTGCAGGAGCGCATGGGGATTAAAGTTTGAATTTCAGGGTTTAGGGTTCCATAAAGGGCTCACGGACCCTTAACCTAAAACTAAGCGCCGAACAACAAAGTCCAACGAATCTCAAACTTACACCCGTAACCTGCCGGACTATCCCCTAGACATCTAACTTGATACCTTCTGAACTGCGAAAACTAGATCCGAGAATACCCTCGACCCCATCCCTACCCCGCCCCCCCAATCAAAAAGATACCAGATTTGCAAACGAATCAATATACACACACTAATACAAAGTCAGAATAGCAATGAAACGACCAAAAGTTAAGCATTGTCTTGATCCTAAACATTATTAGAGCATCCGCACGACACCTAGCGATATCATGAGTCATAATCATGGTCATAAACTAGGATGCCCAGTAGTACCCAGCACCAGAAAGGGAGCCCTTTTTATTCCTAGGTTACTGGGCATACTAGCAAAAGACGACTTCCACCCTTCCACCCAAAGACTCCAATATCCCTTAATTAAGGAATATACCTTAAATTATAGTAGGATCCCTAATATGATTTAAGGAATATTCCCTAATTAAGGGGTATTGGAGTCTCTGGGCAGGTCTCGTGAACTTCCCTGGGAAAGGCGCCCAGAGAGTCGACTCCGAAGATTCGGAAGCTGAGACACACGGGCCGGTGACGACGTCCATTGAGGCCCTCAGCGTTTTACGGTTTAGGGGTTTATAGGGTTTAGGGTTTGGGGGTTTAGGCTTTAGCGCCCTCAGCATGACCTTTCGGTGGGTGTGGAAAGGGGTTCCATAACTTAGGGGCTAAGTAGTAGCCTTTTGACCTTTCTGGGGCTTATATGATCCTACTACAATTCAAAAGTTTAACATTTTTTGGGGGCTAGGGTACTCAGCCACTTCAGCCACTAAGATAATGTAGACTCTAGTAGGCTCTGCGGGGACTCATCAGGGGTGGTATAAGGGTTGTTTTGGGGAATCCGTTTAGAGCCGCCATGGTGGGCTTTCAGGAGGCTTCTTTGCAGGGCTCTGCTGGATTCTACAAGAGAATCGGCATAGCGGTTTCGGATTTAGGTTTAGGTTGGAAGGTTTTCGGGCTGGTGGTTTATGAGGCGGATTTGGGTTGACCCAAAATGGTTCAGGGTTGCGGTCTTTGAGGTCAAGAAATTTGTGGTTTTGGGCTTATAAGGGCCTCAGGGCGCTGGGTTGAGGGTTGTCAGGGATTCAGCCTTTCCCTGCAGCCGCAGCTTTTTGCATGGTGGGGTCGTGTTGGTGGATTCTTCTTGCAGTTTGCCGTTTCGGCCCAGGTGACGGCTGTCCTGCTCTTCCCTACATCGTTCTCAAACTCTACCCTCGTATACCACCCTGATACAACCCTTTCATCCCAACCCAAAGACCTGAAAAATAGTACACTTTACATTCTAAATTAACCCCCCCCAGCCCTAAACCTTAAAAGCAGTATAAATAAGTACACCTTACATGGACAAAATCAAGCGTCCCGAGCTTTGAAGGTCCCACTGCGTGTCCTCCGCCGCCCCTGGCGGGGCCAGGTGGCCGAGGCATCCGTGGCTCAGGCCTTGGAATGGGAGGTAGAAGGTACTTCCCCAAATCAAAATTTACTTGCACTTCTTAGTATAGAAACCCTACATTCGACCCTCTAGGTCATTAGGAACCTTTGGGGCTTAAAGAACGTAATGTAGGGGCCTTATAAGAAGAATTGGGTTTTGGGTATGATTATACTATCCTTCTAATCAGGAACCCTAAGGTAAAAGCCAGAAAGTTGGAATATGATTATCCTAACCCTTCCATGGTAAATTATAGGGTATCCTACCATGAAACCATATTCCAACTTTCTGGAGTTCCCTGTATCATTATTAGGGCCCCTACAGTACTAAGCAGGGTTCCCAGCCTTCCGGCCTTTTCTGGAGGGCTGTTGGACGTAGGGTTGGGGTCTTAGGGGATTTGGTATGTGAGTCAACAGTAGGAGTGCAAATGGGACAGCCCAACTACGTAGCATATAGAAATAAGTATGTATATGTATGTATATACATATGTATGTATATATATATATATGTATGTACACATACTTTTCACCTCGCTGCCTGAAAGCCTGAAAGGTTTATGGGTAGCAGCGGTTTCAGGGTTTGGCTCTGCTTTTTTATAGTGTGAAACCCCGAAACCTAAGAGCATCGCTCACAGGTTGAAGTTGATGCATGTCGGCGTGAAGGGTACGGACGCGTGACCATCACCGGTGGCTGGTGGCATCGTGTCTGTGTTGTCAAGCTTTTGCTGCTTTTGGGGGCTTCACGGACATTCCGATTTCTGCCGAATGCTGCAGTGTCTCACCTCAGCTCTACCCTAAACCTTAAACCTCAAACCCCAAATCCTAAACCCTACCCTAAACCCCCAAACCCACCTAAACCCCAAACCCTAAAGCCCAAACCCTAAACCCCAAACCCCGTAACTTAGAGTATAATGGGCCCCAAAACCCTATTCTCATGATTAAGAACCCCATATATTAGAGTACCCTTCTAGTATCATTAAAGGGACCCTAAACCCCAAACCCTAAACCCCAAACCCCGGACCCTAAACCCCTAAACCCTATGGATCCCTTATAGAGCCCATATGGATCCCTTTAAAGGAACCCCTATAGATCCCTGTAAGGAAACCCGCAAACCCACCTCAGCCCTGGGTCCGGCAGCCTTCACGTCCACCCCACAGCCCTCGGCCAGGAACCAGACCCGAAGCCCTACAACCCAGTTTAGGGTTTATGGGTTAGGGCTTATAGGGTTTAGGGTTTAGGGGTTAGGGTTTATGGGTTTTGGGGTTAGGGTTTAGGGGGGGGGTTAGGGTTTCGGGTGTAGGGGTACCTTTAAAGATCTATAAAGGTTCCTTTTAAAGGCTTCTATGGGGTTTGGGGTACCATATGGGTGGTGTTTACCCAGAGACTCCAATATCCCTTAATTAAGGAATATTCCTTAAATCATACTAGGGATCCTATTATAATTTAAGGTATATTCCTTAATGAAGGGATATTGGAGTCTCTGGGAACTGCGTTGGGGGTTTCAGGTTTAGGGTTTTGGATTTAGGGTATAGGGTTTATAGGGTTTAGGATGATGGGTTTGGGATTTAGGGTTTAGGGTTTAGGTGCACCCTAGAAGCCCCAAGCCCAAAGGCTCCATGTACCCTTATAGTAGATACTTAAGCCTTAAAGGGGTCCCTATATGGGTATATACTATATGGGTGCATGGAGCTTTAGGGCAAGCCATCAAGTCCATGACTGAGGCAAAGCCTCGCAGCATACCAGTGCCTCATTAAGCTGCTTGGTTCTACAACGGAGGATCAGTTTTCACAGCAAGAGAAGTCCTTTCCTTGTGGCTTGCTCTGATAGCTATGGTTCCTTTCAAAGTGCATGATACATCATCTCTGCGGTTGATGATACAAATCCTGCATGACCCATAATAAGGAATATACCATAATTCCCATGGTTTAAGGTCCTTCAGGTAATGCAGGGTTTGTTTATACCATCATCCCTAGTATGGTAGTCTAGGTAAACTCAGGGTTTTGCCCAAGCTCTGAGGCTCTTTTCCACGTTGGAAACATCGGTTGAGCCGGCACGAGACGCAGTGCGCATCTGGCGCAGCAAGGCATTGGACCAGAAAAGGAGCAGTGTTTTGCTTTGCTGAGTTGTCCTTTGGTATTTTTTTAACTTCCCCTACTATTTTACTAGTAAGTAATTTTCAGAGGGCTTACAGGACAACTCGGTTTGTGTTTAAAATTTGTTAAGCGATTTGGGGTGCAAGATTTTGGGGTTTTGTCTTCGGGCTCGACGCACATAGCAGGCGTTAGTGCTTACTTTGATGCCAGCTACCGACCCTCCCTCTCCCAAAGGCTCCATGTACCTCTATAGTAGATACTTAACGTCTTAAAGGGGTCCCTATATGGGTACTTCAAGGCATAAGTATCTACTATACGGGTACATGGAGCCTTAGGGTCTGCTCTTGAATTGCAGCGTAGGACCTATACCAGCCGGTATGCCCCTAAATCCAAAGCCCCAAAAGCCCTGAACCCTTTCGTCAACCCCATTATCAGCCTGGTACCCGAAACAATCTAAACCCTAGACCCTATACACCCTTAACCCTATAAAGCCCGAATAGAGCCCAGGAAGCTGCTAACAGCCAATCTTTGCATGATCTCGCCTGGCGCCTTGGCGCAGGGTTTCATGGTTCAAAGGTTTCGGGAACTTGCGACCTCAAGGGGTCTTCTCACAGGCTTACCCTTAGGCTCTAAGGACTCATATTTTATGGCTTTTGGGCCCAAAGACCCTACTATATATGGATTTTGGGCTATTTTGAGCCTTAGGGTTAGGTTTAAGGGATTTGGGGTAAAGTGGTTTTGGTGTTCAAAATATGAGAGTGTGGGGCTTATTTAAGATGGTTCCCGACCTGTAGGCTTGTTAGGCTTTCTCGCCAGGCAGTTTGCATGAGGTCGCCCTCTGTATTCTACTGACAGAAGCATGGAGTGAAGGGATGGCGGTATTGAATGCAGCAAGCAAAACTTCTGACAGGAATTTCAGCTATTCTCTCGAAATGTGGTGTGGGACGACTTGCGGGCATTGAATCCAATCAGATTGCAAGGAAGAGTCTTGCAGTCGATGGTTGGTGGAGACTAGCTGGAAAGCTTCCTGAGATCGCCCGACATGTGTGTCCAACGGCACACAACAGCACAGACTCTTCTTCAGAAGTTCCGGCATTCTCTTGCGCGCCCCCGCATGCACACCACCCGAACAAGGCAATCTCAACGAGGATCTGTAATACGTCGAATGAAATCCGAATCGTAAGGACTTAAAACTTTCAGTGCGTGATCTATGTCGGAATGATTTGTACAAATATGTCCCTTATTTTCACCATCTACTGATACAACAATCATACAAACCCGACTCTAAGTCTTACATACCCCCATATTAAAGCCGCGGTGACCGCGTAGGTGCCTGTGTGAAGCTCTCCGTGGTGTTGGGGCTTGGTGGCCTGGCTATTGCCGTGATCCTCCTCGTCACGCAGAGCTGGTTGCCGCCGGGCCAATCCTTGCTAGGACCTAGAGTAGGCTTTTGAAGGGTTCAGGTTCCCTTATAAGCCCCTTTAAACCAAAAAGGACACCCTTTGTCTTCCGAGGTTACTCTTAGGTCCAGCTTGGGATGGCCGATTTTCCTTTAACCGCTTGATAAGCCCCGATACCCAAAGGCTCCATGTACCCTTATAGTAGATACTTAAGCCTTAAAGGGGTCCCTAGATGGGTACTTTAAGGTCTATGTCTATACTATATGGGTACATGCAGCCTAAGGGATAAACGGGAATTATGTATATTCCTTATTATGGGTAATGCAGGATTTATATCATCAACCGTCAGCCCCGATAAACACCGAAGCTTGAAGGCAACACCCCGAAACCCGAACCCAACAACACAAGCCCCCGAGGCCACACACCATGAACGCCGAGAAGCCATCCTAAGCCCCTCCGTGAGTTTTGGGGATTACGTACACTGCTGTTGTATCATACATACGTGACGCATAGTGCCTGCTGAGTGGTGGGCTTTTGTTCTTCACCCAACGCACGGCCTGCAAGAGCCCAGTCCAAACCAACCCCCAAATCACTCTCAAAGAACCTTCATCTTATAAGGTTAAGTCCTTACACCCTAAGCCCTAAACGCGGGCTCCCTTGGAGCTGTCTCACTCAGCAGACTCCGACCCATATGCCTCGCCTGGATTGTCCGAGTGTGAGCGCCGAAACCCGGGTTTCGGCCGTATAATTTTCAGTGAAGGTGGCAACACTCCGAACTCTCAAGTCCCCACCAGAGGGTTTCGGGATCTTGGGTTTGGTAATATGGGCTTCATTGAAGGTTTGGCAATGTTTGGCAAATTTGGGGGTTTTGGTAGCTTAGACTTTTAGGTTGAGGGCTTGGGCTTCAGAAGTCGGAGGGTCGTGTGGTGTCAGTACGCCCGGTTTTGATAAAAGGTTTGGGGTAAAGGTCTCAAGACACCAACAATTGGGGTACTTGGGATTAGGCTAGTAGGCATGCAGGTTTGCATGTTGGAGCGACTAGTTCTTGTGGATCTCAGTGGGTTCAAAATATGAAAAGCAGGATACATGAGTCCTAAGGCACACCCAGCCTACAGCCAGCTCCCTTCGCACTGGTTTAGGGGTTGCTCTCCAGGGTGTTCGTGAGCTTTCGATGTTTTGAAGTTCGGGCTTAGCCCCCTTCCCTATCTTGCGAATGACTATCCAAGGGTAAACGGAGGGACCCTTAATAAGGACCCCTAGGTTTATACCCTTAATATAGCTATTATATACCCATTATATAGCCCATTATGGGGTCCTAGGGGTCCCCATTAAGGCTCCCTCCTTTTTCCCTTTGAGACTAAGGCAATGGCTGGTGTCCGGAGCTGAGGTTGACTTGATGTTTCACCGTTCTCTCATGGGTAGCCGGGTCGGGTAGCCCTCTAAATTCATTTTGCCTATAGTCTCCATTGTAGTTCCTTTTTTGGTTAACAAGCTTTATGGTTTGGATCCTTTAATAGAGATTCTCTCTTATGGGTAGTCCTCTAAATTCATCTTAGGGTCCTTCGGTTGATGATATAAATCCTGCATTACCCATAATAAGGAATTTACCAAAATTCCCATAGTTTACGGTCCTTAAGGAAATGCAGGATTTCTATCATCAACCGTTTGAGAACTTCCCATAATGGGCTTCAGGATTCCCTGTGCCGGGTGCTGCCGTTCAGTTTTCAGAACCTTCGGATCCATGCGGTGAGTTGCAGTTACTGTCCGTTAGCCCCAAACACACACTTGACAGCGTTCACCTGTTTAAGTAGCTTTTTTACGGGCGAAACGGGGTTTACGACTCCTTAATCATAGGACATCGTCGCATTCTTGCCATGTAGTTGAACCCAGGGCTGAAGTTCTACTGTCAAGTTCCAGAAAGTTGGAACATGGTTTCATGGTAGGATCCCCTATAGTTTACCTTAAAGGGGCGATGATAATGATATTCCAACTTTCTGGCTTCTACTGTAGAAGCCTTTTTACGGAGTCTTGATGGATGGTCTGAGGGTGAAGCTTAAGTCGTCTTCTGTTGATCTTTCGGTTTGAGGTAGCGGCCGGAATGATTGAAGATCAGCTACGGCCTAATCGAGCCTAGCCCCAAATCCGTGACCGTTATCACATGTCTTGTGTTCGTGTGTCTGTGTGTGTCTCTGTGTGTGTAGATTGAAATCGGTGTTTACACCCGTTTTCGTTCAGCCATGCTCAGGCTTCTGCTGCATAAGCATGAAATCATCTCAGTTGCTATTGTAACGATGCTGACTTTGATGAAAGACCTTGGAACTACGATCTGCTGAGGACGAAAACTAGAGATGATATGCCTCTAGTTCTCAGTGCATGCGAGGTTGAAGATCCCCTATCCAGGATCAATCTGTGGCTCGGTGTCAGGGGGGTTTAGGGTTTATGTCAGGGCATGAGTGGCGGAAGGAGTTTCGATTCGGGCTCAGATTTTTTGTTGCTGACGTTGTCGAGCGACGTAGATTTTGGGGGACTTGGCTTGCAGGGCGGGTGCTGTCAGTCGGTGCAATCATTTTCAAACTCTTGGTCTCGCCGCAAACCTAAACCCTCAACCGCAAACCTAAGCCTAAATATAGGCCACTCAGTTGAGCTCCAGACTCAGAGCTGCTATGCCTACCCACGGAGTACAGTAGTGCAGATCCGGCATTCCTTGTGTGCGACCAATTCGCCATGCACACCCGGCCCCATGACACCAAGATCCTTCTTCCGAACAGGGAGCCAGGTAAAGTTTCAGACTCCTCGGTACTAGTATTTATTTAGGCCTCTAAATTAACCCTAAACCCAGGTCTTCAGTCGAGGCTATCGTAGTGCGATTGTCCGGCATCCTTTGCACGATCAAGACTACAGACAGCTCGGAGCAGCAAGGATTTATGTTTTAGTGCTGGGACCTCCAGACCCCAAACCTTTGTCATAGTTGGGTAGCATTTTACATTTTTAATGGGTGCTTAAACCCAATAAAGGAATAAAAGTGTACATTTCTAATCCTATCCCGACAATGAACTAGAAACTCCATTGCCGCAACATGTAAACCGTGGCTCGGACGAGGCTTCCTTCTGTACTTCCTCATCGGAATGCGCGTTTGCTGTGTTCTCCTGGGCACTATGCGTGTTGTGAGCGGAGGCCGTAGCATGTCCGATGGAGGTTTGAGTACGCAGGTTTTCAATGCTTCCTTTCCCGTATTTACCCATTCCTCGCAAGGGTATAGAAGAACAAGCGAGAGTGCCCCACAAAGCAGACATTCGAACTTGCATTGCAATATGCCCACAAACCTATACCAGTTATTGGGGTTTCGGGCTGAGGCTGATAGTGGGCACGCTTCATGTACAGCCGTCCGTCAATCTTCAGCATGCAATGCTTCGGCAAATCGTTAACAAACACCTCGTGAGGCCAATACCGCTGAAGGAGGCTCTTGTTTGTGGCATCGGGGGTTCATGACCTGCATGGATTCTGGTTTTTCGGGCCTAGCTCTTCCTTGGGGTTTTCGGACGACAGTTTGGATTGACTTAGAGAGGCGTGCTGCTCACCTTGGTGGGCGCGGGCGTCGTGAAGACCATCGGAACCTTAGTGGCGGAATTCGGCAAAGTTGATTTTGTCGGTGGCGATGTGGCACCCTTTACAACATGAGAGCTGAGCAGCTTCAACCATTTTTTGTGGTGCAGTATATAAGTTGACTGCTGTTGAAGAATGAAACCTTAGACGCTTCGTGGCAAATACCCAGAGGCTCCGTAGTAGTTGCTTTTGGGGATTACCTTATCGGATTCTAAATATGAACCCCAAAAAGGAGCCACTACGGAGCCTTAGGGTAACACACCCTAAACCCTAAACTCCCTAAAAACCCTAAAGTTCACATTTTGTAGAGAACCACAGTATTAAATAAATTTCAAGGGGCTTAGAGGACAACTCAGTTAAACTGGGCAACCAAGGAACCAGCATTCTTGGAGCCATGTCCGGCCCCCTTGCTGCAAGAAGGGCTGACGTTTGAGGATGGGTGGATACAACTAGGGTACGTGTATAAGTATGTGTATGTGTATATATATATATATGAACAATTGAGAGAGAGAGAGAGAGAGAGAGAAGAAATAAGCACACAGAGGCGGGGAGCAAGCCACACAGCAACATGTCTTTAGATGGGGTCCTTATGAAATCTACAAGTCTGTGAAGATGATTCCTCCACCCGCGCGGCGCAGTCATTATGTTCACAGTCAAGTCCCTTATGCCCGCGAGACTCGGAAGTCGCGCATCCCATTACAGACGCGGGAGCCCACGGGCGTAGAAAGTGGCTTACTGTTCCTTAAACCCTATAAAATCATACTAAATACCCATAACACAGCCACCCAGTCTATAGGCAACTGAGCTCCTAGGAAAACCCGCAAACCAAACCTCTTCTGAAACAATTGACATTTATCCAGCCCTTATCACATTAGAAGCCTTCCATGTCAGTTCCTTTTTCGGGGGGTTACTTCATAGTATCCGATATATATATATATATGTATGTTTTTTGTTGATTAAACCCAAAACAGGAGCCACAATGGAGACTTGACTGGAGGCAAACATGTACACCTCAAACATTCTTAAGACCAGACTAAAACAAGCCTTGTTAAGTCCTTATTATCGGTATTAAGGCCCCCTACCCCCCTAGCCCTACCCTAAACCCTATAAACCCGACACCTGCAACGTCCTTGCCAAGTAGGGGGGAAAATACCCCCCCCCCCCGGGAAGGGTCCCTACCGTTGATGATATAAATCCTGCATTACCCATAATAAGGAATATACCATAATTCCCATAGTTTAGGGTCCTTAAGGTCGTGCAGGATTTATATCATCAACCGTAGTACTCTTAGGTGTTTACCATGGGAATTATGGTATATTCCTTGTTATGGGTAGTGCAGGATTTAGATCATCAACCCTATTAGCTTACCAGGGCTTGGCTTCCTCTACATCGCCATGATCCCCATTGGCCAGCTGCTGACTTCGGTCGCTTGCAAGCGATCGTAAGGTTTAGGATTTAGGGATATTTAGGGTTTCGGTGGTGAAGGATACTTAAGGTTTAGGGTGTAGGCTTTAGGGAGATTTAGGATTTAGGGATATTAGGGTTTAGCAGTTTAGGCTTTAGGGATCTTTAGGGTTTAGGGTTTAGGCTTTACATTACATGGGTCGCTTGCAAGCGATTCCTGAACCTGGCGGTTTCGGCAGTGCGGGACACCTTTGGTTGCGGAGTCCTTCAGGGTTCCCAGAGATTCCAATACCCATTAATTAAGGAATATACTTTAAATTATAGTAGGACCCCCAATATGATTTAAGGAATACTCCTTAATTGAGGGATATTGGAGTCTCTGGGTTAACCGGTCGGTGAGGCTTTAGGGTTTGGGTTTAGGCTAGGGTTTAGAGTTAAGGGCTTAGGGTTTAGGGTTTAAGGTAGGGTTCAGGATTTAGGGTGTAAGGTAGGGTTTAGGATTTAGGGTTTAGGGTAGGGTTTAGGGTTTAGGGTCAGCTTGGGGTGACTTGCGGGGGCAGGCATAGGCTTGGCAACAATGTCGTCGACAGCTATGGGCATCCTCAACGACATCAGGATTTTAGGGTTGACGAAAGCAAATTTGGCATTGCTCACTGTACTAAGGACGTACCACTGAAGTCGTCAAGACCCTATATAGAAGCCCTAAACCTAAGTCCTTGCCCTTGATCCCTGTCCTCTAAAGCCATAGAGCCTTAAACCACTAAATCCCTTACACCCGATTCCCTCCCTGTACCCGATTCCCTCAAACCCTGGAGCCCTAAGTCCCTAAAAACCAGACTAGAAATTAGAAACTTTTATCTCGGAAGGCCCTCTTCCGACCCTGGGCGAGGGTTTAGGATCAGGGCTTTAGGGTTTAGGGGTTCGTATGGTTTAGCAGTTTGGGCTTTTTAGGGTTACGGCTATGAGTCTTGGGTGGCTTCAGGAGTGCGATCTGACAATATCCGCCTGAAACCATGTATTGATGCTTGATTGGCTTAGTTCGGCTTAAGGAATCTCTTCTGTCAGACATGAATGCTTGGAAGCCAAGATTATCCGGCGCGTTGCGCCGCAGATTGTGCACGATGCTCAGGACAGTTCAGGGATGTAGGGTCGTCACCGAAGGGCAGGTCTTTTGTAGATGCCCTTGTGTAGGACATACCGGACATAGATACCGTCATCGAAGAGGACAGTGTCACGGTCTGCGTCCTCTTGTGTTCTGCTAGTTGCCAAGAGAGGTAGGTAAAGACAAGAGTACCGTCAGCAGACAAGCTTACGTTAGAAGTCCAAAAGTTGGAAACCCAATAGCCTCGATCCGTAAGAGTAATGTACTAATGTATAGGGAATCCCAGCACTATTTGGCCTTAATCCGGCTTCCAACTTTATGGGGTTCATTGTAAAGCGCAGTATGGGGGGGGTGGCCCTCGAAGCCCTGAAAATAACACTGGCTTGGCCCAAGCATGTTCACTCCTCCGACCAGAACCCGAAAAGAGCAAAGCACGAAAGACTTATATGAAGCCTAAACCATCATTCTACGTAAGTAGACTTTCACTGTTTACAACTCAGGGTGATTATGATGCCTACGTAACCCTGGCAGTTTACGACTCATGTTCTGTGTGTGCATACATGTATATATTCAGATGCACATATTTGCCGGTCTGCATATACATATACAGACGCACACGCAGCTACATAGACAAACGAAAAACAGCCGTCTGCCTGCCTGCCGGCTGGTTGTTTGTCTGTCTTTGAGTGGATCTTCCCGTCTGTGCGTCTATGATCGTTTATGCCTGTGTAAGAGGTATTGGGATGGGCTGCTTTGGTTTGGGACTGGCTGGCTGTCTGTCTGTCTCCGTCTTTGGGTGGATCTTTCCGTCTGTCCGTCTATGCTTGCGTAAGAGGTGTTGGGGTGGGCTGCTCTTAGTTTGGGACATGCGCTTCTGCCGGAGATTCGACACGGTCTGCAGAGACAGCTTGGAGGGTCGGGGGACTTAGTAAGTAGGTAGTAAGTAGACTTATAAGTACCCTAAAAGGGACCCTAATTGGGGTTATGGTACTTATAAGTCCCTAAAATAACCAATTACTAAGTCCCCCGACCCTCCAAGAGCAAGATAGCAAGGAGAAGCGCATGCAGCAGTTTTTACCACTCCTGCCGGGCTATGCGACTTGGTGAAGCGATGAAGCTGTGGATGTAGAGCAGCTGATGGTCCGAAATCGGGGTTTTCTGCATCTATGTATGCATATTATAGATGTATACATATAGACATATATGGTAGATAGAGGCTGAATAAGTACTGCTTGTATCACTTGGGTTACCTGAAAATGCTTACAATTTAATGTTCCCCGGACCCCATTCTAATGATTTCGCTTCCCAAATTTACTTCGTTGGTACCGAGGGTTGGGCGAGCGTTCAGGGAGACGGTGACTTTACAATAACGCTGGGGGCTGCTGTGTTGATTGTTTTTTTCGCTGTAACTTGCAGTTCCTTTTCGGTGTTACCTTTTTGGATCCTAAATATATATTTGGTTCAACCAAAAAGAGGAATTACAATGGAGACTATAGGCAAGGCTGACAAAACCCGGGGTTTGGGGCTTGGTGTGGTGTTTTGAGCGAGAGGACCTACGGTTTAGGGTTTATAGGGTTTAGGGTTCAGGGTTTATAAGGTCCCTAAACCGTTTAGGGTTTCAGGGTTTAGGGCCTGGGAGGAGAGGGTTTAGGGCTTACCTACTTTGTGTGAAATTTGCACATAAAGTCGAAACCCTAAATCAAGCGGGCTCGTCACAGCTGCTGTTGAGCTGCTGTTGTGAAGGGCGGCTTCGGTGTTTCCTCAGGCCGATAACCCTCGCTCCCTGCGTTTCCGCGGGATTTGGGGTTTGGTTGAGGACCTTTGGGTTCAAGGTTACGATGTAGGGTGCACCCACAGGCTCCATAGTAGTTCCTTTTCGAGGTTCATATTTAGAATCCGAAAAGGTAATCCCAGAAAGGAACTACTACATCGCCGGGCCGAAAGTTTCGACCCACTTGTGCATCATCTTACATACAAGCTCTTGCGGAGTAGCGGAGTACCTCAAAGTGCCGTTTACCCTAGCCAGGCCAGCGGAGTAATTACTACGCCGTTTTACTATGGGGAAGCGGGTGGAGGCTCATGTGTTGTAGCATGTTGAAGCTAGTGGGTCGAACTATCGGCCCGGCGCAGTATGGAGCACCTGGGCAGGGGCCAGCAATCATGACAATGGAGACCTAAAGCCTAAAACCTAAACCCTGAAACCTAAACCCTAAACCCTGAAACCTAAACCCTAAACCCTAAACCCTAAAGCCTAAATCCTAAACCCTAAACCCTAAACCCTGAAACCTAAAACCTAAACCCTAAACCCTAAAACCTAAACCCTAAACCCATGCTTGCGGCTCAGGATATCGTCTGCCTCCAAGAGCTCCTCGGCTGATCAGCTGCTGCCGTGAACCGGGTCGGGATTCGGGCTCTACCTGGCCGTTAAGGAACCTACCTAGGATGCCCAGTAGTACCCTGATTCCCTTTTTGTAGTCCTAGGTTCCTTATAAAGTTGCCCAATACCAAAAAGAGAGGCCTTTTTATTCTTAGGGTATTGGGTATCCTAGTTACGTTTTTAGGGCGCCTTCATAGGATTTCCTTATATGAGTCGTTAAAAAGGTAGATTATTTGGGGTCCAGGTACGCAATCTCTGACTCTAACTAACCCCCTGGTGCCGAGTTGGGGTTCAGGGACCAGTGTCGGGATTCGTATCTACAAGTTCTGCTGCGCACCAAAACCGTACACCAGTCATAAAACAATTCACGAATAAGCCGCAGTCGTCGTCATTTCTGCAATCCAAAACACGAAAGCCTACCATGCACTGATTGAGAAGTGCACCCTTAGCAACATCAATCCCTGAACCCCAAATCCTAAGCCCTAAACTCCTTGCACTTCTTAAATTCTTAAACACAGACAATATTGAAGCGCTAAGCAAGCCTTACTCAAAGCGAAGTGGGAGTTTCCGAAAACGGGGATCTTAATGTAGCACCCTAAATCGCAGGATCCTTCTTTTAAGGACCCCAAATTTTCGGAAGTCCCAAACCTTAAAGCCTAAAGTATAGCTGGAAGGAACCCTTATAGATCCAATTAAGGAGCCGCTTCTTTTCGGAAAACCCCCCCAAGTCCTGGCCAGGCTGACCGTCGCCTGGGGCCAGGATGACTGGGTGACTGCGCTTAAGGACTTCGCCAAGTCTGCTGGGCACCTTGGATTTTCGGGCGTAATGTCGGAACCTGATTCGGAAACCTTGGGCCTTTATTAGGGCTTGCGACTTCGCCCACTCCATGGGTAGGAGCCTGATTAAGAAACCCTGGGTCTATAAGGCCAAAATAGTAGGATTCAACTAAGGAACTTGTTGCAAAAAGGTTCCTTGGAGTGAAGGCCTCGAAATTTCATCGGTGACTGTAGATTCAGCAGCCAACTACTTGTTTGTAGGGTTTGATGCCACACAAAAGCCCGAGAAAGGACCAATGGGGATGCTGCAAGAGTAGCTTTATGGCAAACTTCAGGTTGCAGCTCTTAAGTCTGTTTGTTTAAGTGCAAGGTGTTTCAAGTTTTGATCTGCCACATGCGCATGGAGTGAACCACGCAGGCTGCGTTACTTTGCTTCCAGTGGGAAGTGGCCGCAAGGCTGCAATCAGCCAGGTTTTTGCCGTTAGGTTGTTTACACATTCGACGCAGCCGAGGTTTAGTAGGAGTCAGACGGCAGCTACGGTCTTCGGAACATACCTAAACATAAAGCAACGAAAGCCCAAAACCCCATCACCCTAAACCGCTAAACGCTAAGACCTCGAAGGGCTTAGAACCTGAATCACTAAGTTCACAAAAAAGCCCAGAACCCTAAACTCCGTGAGTACTTCTGATTGCCTTGCTTTCGCAGTTCGACTTCCTGGTATGTGTATAGCTTACGGGGTGCACGGATGAAGTTCGAGCTTGAAAGTCCTATGTTTGATCCGACCTTGGTATTGTAGCTGCAGGCGTCGTGTAGCCCGAGAAATAAGCCCCCAGCCCTAACCCTAAACCCTCTAATTCCTAAATCCCAAACAAACCTCGTCGCGAGAGTCTGACCCCGAATGCCCGAAGCCATGCCAGACTCCAAAGTCCAAATCCCCATGCCCTGTTATGCAAAGCGTAGTAAACCATATTAGCCCGCCAAAGTCCCAAAAGTCCTGGGGCGATTGTTGCAGCTGATACAGGGGCATTGACTTTTAGAGTAGGGTTTGGGGGGTATATTAAACTGTAACTGTAAATTATTCATGAACCCCTACAGTAGAATTGGTACTTGTCTAGGCCCCCATATTATGAGGCCGCAGTTTCCTGCCTTCTTTGCCGCCGCCGGCCTGGTAATCCTTTCGAAATACAACATCAAAAGGCAAGCGAGTGGTTTGAGGGGGACTTCGGGCGGGTCAAACAAGGGTGGTTTTCAAAATTGATGGTCCCGTTTTGGGTCCTTAGTATAATACGGCTTATCAATATTATGGTCCCTTTTTGGGTACCCTAAATTAGGGTACCCAAAAAGGGACTTTAATTTTGACAACTACCCAAACAAAGAAGTGAAGGGCTTTAGTCCCACAGCCCCGAGCCTAAACCCAAAAACCCGCAAGCTCTCAAGCCCCTAAACCCGAAACCCTGAAACTCTGCAGTTCGAAAAGGGCCCAATACAAAAAACAAAGTTGAAGCAACAAGAACCTGCAAGCAAAGCCTTATGAATTCAGTGGTCGTCAAGACAGAATCGGTGAGTTCAGGTGGCGTTGTCGGGCTGGAGGCTTTTACCCATGGGCCTCAAGGGTGTTATTTATCTCAAGAATAGTAAGAATGATAAGGGTAACAAGACTTATGACAATAGCTGTAGCCATAACAGTAGTAGCAATACTAGTAGGAGGCCTATACCCAAAACTCCTAAGTCCTAAACCTTTGCATTAGGCACAAGATCGGTAGATGACCATGGCTGTTGCCTGGAACATCCACCAGCTCGGGAATCAGATTCTTCAACTAGGGTATAGTTTAGTGTTGTAGAAGTAGGGTTAAAGGCGTTGTGATTGTGGTTGCAGGTGTTGTAACAATTTTGGGTCAAGGTCTTATGTATGGGTAGGTGTCAAGGTTGTATATTGACCGTCTCTCTTGCTCACACACAGCATACACACACGCAAGCAAGCGCCCACTGTCTCTCTGTAATATGTGTCATTACGTTTTATTTGCAGAATTTTTGTGCGTATATGTATATAATATATATATATATATATATATATATATATTTTTTTTTACTCATGTATATATATATATATATATATATATATATATATATATATATATATATATATGCATCTGCATCATCTGTATGACATGAATCTATCAGTCTATAAGGTTGTCATGAGGCTTATTGTGCGTGTGTGTGACCCAGGACCCTCAGCCACAGATATACATAGGCACGCACCCAGCCGAGACCTTCCTAGCCTCAAGTCGTAGATGCTCATGCCGAAGCCCTACCAAGACGCCCTAGCAGGAGCGAGCTCTTGACCTTCTCTCGCCAATCATGGTTCGAGTGGAGTGCCGTCCAGCGTGGCGCTCTCATGGTGGATGCCCTAGCTTTGGGCGGAAGGTAGTGTTTGTGTGTCTTTTTGCGCAGCCCGCTGTCTTCACAGTTCGTCCTGACTCAGGTTTGTTCTGCTAGGTTTTCAAAATCCTTGAACTAAGCTCAGGCAGAGCTGTGGGATTGCACGTGACATCACTCAGCTAATCAGACTCTCGACGTGGAAGTGACCGACTTGAAGCCAAGAGGTGCTCTCATGTCACCGACGGTCCCAAAAGTCAACCCTGTTTGGTGGGATCGGGACAAGATCCTGCAAGCCAACCTCGAGAGATGGCAAAGCAATTAGGAAATCTAATAAATGTAATGTAGGGGCCGAATTCTGTACCAATTCTATCGGGGGGGACGGGGGGGTCCTTATTATAGTTATAGTACGTAGAACGGGCCCCAAAACCGTATTCTAACTATGGGCCCCTGCAGTATTCACTTATCGGGCCGAAAAAACGCGTCTCACCAAAACAAGCGCACACATACACTTCCCATGCATAAGACACCACCCTGTCGCTCCATAGTAGTTCAATGTCGGGGTTCATATTTAGAATCCGATAAGGTAATCCCAAAAAGGAACTACTATGGAGTCTCTGGGCAATGAACCCCGAATCAGCTGACCTCCAGGTGGAGTTGGAGGGACCGCATCTTGGATGTGAATACGTGGCAGATTGAAATTGCCCCGTAGCTTGCTGCGATTAGGACCCGGAGAACCTGCAAATTGGCAGCTGTAGTGCAGATAGAGAGAGAAAGAACAAGTTACGTTGCAGTTCAGGGTTTCGTGTTTTGATACACCCCTAAACCTTAAACCCCTAAACCCCATTAGAATTTGATCATTGATAACCGTGTTGGATCTGCTTGAGTCTTGATCCGCTGGGTTCTGATCCAACAGCCCTCGGCGCAAATCTGCATCCTAAAGTCCAACAGTTGGAAGCCTCTGACCCTAAGGCTCCATGTACGCATATAGTATATACTTAGGCCTTAAAGTACCCATATAGGGACCCCTTTAAGGCTTAAGTATCTGCTATAAGGGTACATGGAGCCTTTGGGTGAAGGAAAAATAAGAAGATCGCCGTGATCAACGTGCACACCACAGCAGGCTCGGAGCCAGAGGGTTTAAAGTAAAAGCCAGAAAGTTGGAATATGATTTTCCTAACCCTTCTATGGTAAACTATAGGGTATCCTACCATGAAACCATATTCCAACTTTCTGGAGTTCCCTGTAGGGTTTAGGGTTAAGGGGCTTCGCATGGGGTATTCCCAAACTCAATGAAGAGTCCTTGCATCAGGGCTCCTGAATCCTACCCACCACCCCACCCTTCGGGGAACTACTCAACTACTCACAGAAACCAAGCAAGATCCGTAAACTTTCCTACTTCTACCTGAACCCTGAAGCCATCTTTGTATGGATTCCTTATTGTGACTTCCTTGTCTCAGCCCTTGAAGAGGTAGGTTCGTTAGGCTCCAACCCTAAACCCCTAGTCCCCGAAGCCAATGTCCTAGCGGTTGATGATAAAAATCCTGCATTATACCTTAAGGACCCTAAACTATGGGAATTATGGTATATTCCTTATGATGGGTCATGCAGGATTTATATCATCAACCGTAGCGGTCAGAGTTTCCAGTTTGTGGGTGTTCAATCGTTTAGTGTCTAGGCTGTTTGGAATCTGCGGCCATGGTTTCAAACGAAAACTACCAGAATTCCGTTCTAACCTTAGCACCACAGACCCCTAGAGCCTCAGTCCTTAAACCCGATAAACTCTACCCTATAATATACACCCTAAGCCCTAATTGAACTGTCTATAAACGTGCACCGGACATGTCCTAAGCTGACCGCTGTGCCCGAAGCTCCCGGAGAGGTCCGAGAAGAAAACCACAAAGCGATAGATTGCCAGACAAAGCACCCACTCAATGCTTATGCTATCTCTCCATCTTAAGGTTAAAGGTTTCGGGTTTGAGGTTTAGGGTTCATGGTTTGAACAGGTGCGACACATCCAGGCGGGATTCACACATGCGTGTGCCAGAGGGTATGAAGACCTTCTGAGACCCTAGTGTATCACAAGATACTGCAAGATGCGACGCCCGGAAGGACTCGAGGTCGTCCGAACCGGCATGCATCTATCGAAGCAAGTTTCGCAGGGCAATGCCAAGGCAGGTTAAGGGTTCAGGGATCTTTTAAGTATGGTAAGTATGGGTACCGGAACAAATGGTACCCATGTGCTTTCATAGTCTTTATGATAGGACAATATGCCATTGTAAATTGACGAAATACGCCCAAACTCTACCCTGAGTTGTGTGCTCTTATAACGAAACACCATTCTAATTCTGAAAGCCGTTGTATAGTCGCGACCAGCTCCCCTGAATTAAACGAAGCACCAAAACCTATCGACGGATTGAGAGGCTAGGGGGTTGTGGAGTTTTGGCTGCGGTTCGGGGCTTAGGAGTCTTGGCTTAGGATCAGGGCTTAGAGGCTTGGGTTCAGAATTCGTGGGGTCCAGGCATAGGATCAGGGCTCATGCCAGTTTCGAGGAGTTCTTATGGGCTTCTGCAAGGCTTGCTATGAGGCTGTAGGAGTTTTAGTGTTCAGTTGGTTGCGGGCTGAGGGCTCAGAATCCTAGCTGCAAGAGTTCATACAACGCATGTGGGGGAGTTTAACTTTTGATGAATATTCTGCATGCCCTGGACAAAAGCAGCAATTAGCAGCAGTGTGTGAAGTTCCCGCTCTTCGTTTCTGCCATGCAAGATCCCTAATAAATTCCATTCTGGCCTTACTTAACCTTAAAGGTTCAATACCAGCCAAACCTTAGGCGTGAAACTTCTTCTTCATACTGCTCTACTAGTGAAACCTTATAAGTCCAAGCTTGTAGCTCTCAGAAAGCAGCTGAAGATCCGATGCTTCTAGCCTACTTGCCTGGCATTCATGCAGAACCTTTAGGGAACCCTGTAAGCCCTTACAGTAACCCTTATAGCAACCCTTAAAGCATCTCTTGTATAGCAGCCCCTACAGGAACCCCTCCTAGGTAATATAGGGCCGCTGCAGAAAATAGAAAGCCCTTCCTTTAAAAGGATCTATGGGGCTTCTATGAGGGGAAAGGGTATAGCGCCTACTAGGAGGTTCATGGGTGGCTATAAATGGGGTTATAAGTCCCCTACTTGGGGTTATAACCATAGCTACCCTAATTATAAGCCCACTTCTAACTATCCATGAACCTCCAAAAATGCAAGCCTCGGCCAGAAACAATAAGCCCTCTAGCGTCAACCCTCAAACCCGGGCCCCTGAACCGTACAGCTCAAGGGTACGTCCCTGAGCTCTGTTACCCAAACCCCCAAACTAAACCCCAAACTTCCCGAAACCCCAAACTAAACTCTAAACTTCCCGAAAACCTCAACCCGAACCCCCAAACTAAACCCTAATCCATGCTAAACCCTAAACTCCCCGAAGTCCCAAAACCCTAATCCCTACTTTTCAGGTGAACCCGACTGGCCTGAAGCAGCTTGAGGAGGCCTCCGTGGCCTAGTATGACGGCTTTAATGATTTCCCTGGGCATCAACAGGTTCAGGGTTTGGGCTTAGGGGGTTTCGGGTTTCGGGAGCCCAGACGCCTTTTTTTGTGTGGTCTTTGGGCCCAATATATGAATCCTTAGAGCCCGAAAGTTTGGTATTTGCCAATGTTTTCCCTGCGGGATATACTCTTTATGTTTCTGCGATAATCGACCTGCCAAGACTGAAAACTTATCCCAACAACCAAGGCCCCATATTCCCTGGTTAATGTAGGAACCTGATTAAGAAACCCTGGGCCTAGAACGCCGAAATGGTAGGATTCATGTCATGAACCCCACTAAAGGCCCAAGGTTTCTGAATCGGTTCCTACATTATCTAAGGCTCCCGGGGTTGAAGCTATTCGCGTCGCTGAAGAGTTTTTGTCGGCAGGTTCTTCGGACACTGAGAGCAAAAAATGACATCCTGGGTTTATACGGTTAAGGATTTAGTTTAGGTTTTTATTCAGGCTTAGTAGTTTAGGGTTTTATGGTTTCTGATTTTAGTGGATTATGGTTTAGTGGATTCGGAGTGGTTGCAGGCCAGTTGCATAAGGGTTTATAGTGGTTTAGGGTGCAGTGGTTTAGGGCTTATTGCTTTGGGGTGTAGCGGATTAGGGTTCAGTCGACTAGGATTCAGTGGTTTAGGGTTTTCTGGCACGCAATCCAAGCCCAGGCAGGGGTTTGCCCCATTAATAGGGTTCAACGCAGCTTAACACTGCAAGAGCCTTGGGCCCAATGCTATGGGAGAGACCCCGTGTACCGAAGCTTCCGCCGCAGGACAACAGCCTCCGTGGCGGATCACATGGGAGAAGGGAGTCTTAACATTTCGATGATACTGAATGTAGGGATGCTACTCCATACTCGGGTCCCTATGCCCTAAATCCTAGACCCTAAACCCGCAACCGTAGCCCTTAACAACCCTCGTCCCTTAACGCCTTAAAGTTCGAACTATACAGCGAAGATTGGCATGGCCCCTGCGCAAGGATGACACGCACAAATCGATAAGAAGCGCCCAAACCCTGGAACCCTGCCAGGCCCTCCGACGATTCGAAGAGTTCTCGAAGGGTGCTGACCAGCGCACATCAGCTTGACTTAACATCTAGGCACGGTTCGGGGTTTATAGGGTATGTGGAAGGTTCGGATAGAAGGCTCTACATACTAAGGTTCCTGCCCAGAGAAAGGTACTTCTACTAGGATGCCCAGTAGTACTCTTATTCCCTTTTTGTAGTCCTAGGTTCCTTATAAAGTTACCCAATACCAAAAAGGGAGGCCTTTTTATTCTTAGGTTACTGGGTATCCTAGTCTAGTTGGAAGAAGCTTCCGTGTGCTTTTGGGTGTTGGACGGGGGATGTACAGCCCAGACTGATCAAGCAAGGGATGGTTAGCTCCTTACAAAGTTTGTCTCTTGAGGGTTACAATTAGGGTAACCATACTTATAACCCCACTTAAGGTACTTATAACCTTATTTGCTAAGTCCCATGATCCTCCAAGTAGACCCTAAACCCTAAACCCTATAGATCCCTTTAAGGAACCCCCATAGATCTCTTTCAGGGGCCCTTTAAGAACCCTTAGTAATTGCAGTTTTCGGTTCAACAACCCAGGGCCGCTCCCGCGGCCCCAAAGAATCTGGGGGTAAAGACAAACTTAGTAGCTGAGTTTAGGGTTTAGGGTTTAGAGGATACACTTTACACTTTTTGGGATTATATTACACACTATAAAACTGAAAGTGTACACTTTTGGGGGCCTATGAACTCAACAACTGAGAAAAAGTTGCTGTCGCTGATGCTTGTTCTTGGCCCGTTCAAGGCGGGCAAAGCTTTATGCCGCAAGCCAAGCCTGAACTCGAATTGAGTACAACGATCAAAGCCTGAACTCGACATGAGTACAACGATGATCTTGTGCAACTCTTTGACATTGTGCGTGTAGGCCATCGGGCTGCCTTCCACACGAAGTCCGCATTAGCTGTCAGCAGTACTTCGGAGTTACCCTGCAAAGCGGGCTTGGTCCTTGTTAGGTGGGATGGAAAAGACACCCTAAACCCGAAACCCTGTTCAATGTTTGGGCTTCTGGTCTGCTCTAAATAGGGTTTGGGTCAGCCAGGGATACGTATGGCTCATGGACTCTTGCACCTGCTTTTCAGTAGCCTTACGGTTTTCGTGAGTCTGAAAAGGGAGATCCCGCAAATTTGGGAGCAGCCGGCTGGTTGCATTGCCATGGGGACTCTAAACCCTGAACCCATAGTTTGCACAGCGGCAGGGAGAGCCCCGAGCAAGATAACAATAACGAAAGGCTAGCCGCGGTGATGTTGACAAGAAGCTTTAATGTAATATCAAAGGTATAATATAATATGAATAAATAAATAAATAAATATATATACACATATATATATATATATATATTACATATTACCTAGTGTAATCTCAAAAAATACATACTATACCGATGCTGACGGTAAGGGCGGGCACTTCTGGCAAGATCAATCTGCGCGGCTCGTCCCGTCAGTCTGCTCAGTTGCTAGTTAACAGTTAGATAGCCCGGTTTAGGGTTTAGGGTTTAGGGTTATTAGATAGCATCCACAACCGAAGCATTATCTTTGGTAGCTGCGGGGAAAATCATGATTTCTTCAGAGCCCTAGCCCTCAGGCCTTGAAGCTCCTGCACCCTAAGCCCCCAAATGCTAATCCCAAACCCATTGATCTCGATCGCACATGCCTCGAGGAATCTTCTGTGGCGATTTCAACTTGAGCAAGGTCCCAGCTGCTGATATGTTGGCTTATTATTAATTCTCCTATAACATGTGAAGTTGAGAATGCCACGGTGTGACGGGATTAGACCTGTCAAAAAAGCAGTTGCAGTTTCACATGCAAGATTCTTGTGGGAGGTGCAGGAATTGTGGGGTAGGGCTCCAGTTTCATAAGACTTCTTCTATCAAAAGTAAAGATTGTAGGACTCACCTCTTCCCGAGCTGACAAATATTCCAAGCTATGCACCCTGGCCCCTGTCATGGCCATGTGTTTCAACGGTTTCTATTTGGATCTTTGCCCCAAACCTTACCGATAGTCTCCATTGTAGTTCCCTTTTTTGGTTTAACCCAAAATATAATTAGGATCCAAAAAAAGGTAACCCCGAAAAGGAACTACAATGGAGACTATAGGTAAGCCTTAAAGCCCAAACCTTAGTCTGCCGACTTGATTGCTCCGGCACTGGCAGGGGCCTCCAGAAGTGGAGGGCTTCGGGGCTATGTTGGGTATTCAACTTTGGAGACATGGGTAGTTGTCAAAATTATGGCCCGTTTTGGGGGGTACCCTAAATATTAGGTGCCGTATTATTTTTAGGACCCCAAAAGGGACCATGATCTTGAAAACCACCCACATGGGTTTGGCCGGCGAGGCCCTGCACATAACCTCCCCCGACCTCGGGATGTCTTCTTTTCTGCAGTTGGAAAAGGGCCCGCCCAAAAAAAGAGAACACACCTTACACTTATTTTTCGGGGAGCTACAATCCTTAAGCTTGTTTTTGTGGAAACCCTAAACCTTAAACCCTAAACCCTAAAACGCAGGGGTATTTAAAATCATGGTTTGGCAGTGGTTAACCCCCCCTGGGACTTGCGAACCTGTAGTGTAAGTCGACTGTCAGACGACCTCCCTGCGGTGCGACTTTGTCAGCTGTGCGGGTGGGAAAAAAGCTTAAACCCCTAAACCCTAAACCCTTAAACCCTAAACCCTAAACCCCAATCCTTAAACCCTAAGCCCTAAAACCCAATCCTAAAACCCTCAAGCCCAATACCCAGGGGTTTCTGACCCGGTCGTTTGGAGGACTCGGAGTCCCTCCAAAGCTTCTTCGAGCAGGCGCGCCTCGGCTGCAAGTCCTCAGGGCCCCCAGAGACTCCAATATCCCTTAATTAAGGAATATATACCTTTCAATCATAGTAGGATCCCTAATATGATTTACGGGATATTCCTTAATTGAGGGGCATTGGAGTCTCTGGGTCCATGCGCCAAACTAGGGCTCCTTTCAACTATAAGGGCTCCTTTAAAAGGATCTATAAGGGTTCCTCTAAAAGGATCTATAAGGGCTCCTTTAAAAGGATCTATAAGGGTTCCTTTAAAAGGATCTATAAGGGCTCCTCGAAAAGGATCTAGAATGGTTCCTTTAAAAAGGCTCTATAAGGTTTCCTTTTAAGGGTTCCTATAAGGGTTCTGTAGAGTTTATAGGGTTCAGGGTTTCCGACTATAGGGGGGTACCTTATCCTGAAAATAAGGATTCTATTTAGGATACTGTATTAGGGTCCCTATATCCGGAAACTCCCATGTACCTATACTACAGGATTTAGAAGTTTGGAGTTTAGGGTCCGGGTTTAGGATTTCGGGGTGGTTTCTTGGTTCCTGGCGCACCGGGCTGCTCGGCTTGCAACTGCAGTTGCTGCAGCGGCACAGTTCACTGTGACTGTAGGGTGTTATTAGACATGCTGGGCATTTACAGGGTTTCGGGCTCTAAGGGTCCGTATGATATGAGGCCTGATTATAGAATGTGAGTAATCTATTTGCCACAGCTCAGCATTCGTGTTGTTTTGGGCTCGCATTTGATCATTCGACGCTTCTTCTTTAGTGTCCGTTCGACGCCCGGCGACGGGACCTGACTGAGGAAAGAGAAGTTGAAGCTTGTGGACCAGTATGCGGATTGCCCACCTACTTTCGGTTGTGCCACTCGGTCTGCCTTTTGGAATGTTTTTTGGGCTTCCGACTGATATGATGGCCGAGGCGTGCTTTGCCTACCGTCGCCCCCTCGATGCTGCTTCAGCTATACAGCCAAATCAGGTAGGAAGGGACAGTCTCTGAAGCCCTAAACCGTCACTGTCGACAAGGACTCGCAACTTGAACACTGAACCTGTGCGAGCCAAAGCTACAACTCACAAAAAAAACAAGCCCTAAAACCTAAGGCTCGTTTGCAGCCACGCAGTCAGGTCGACGAACACGGGAAGCCACGTGAGACACTGCTCACCAAGCACACGAAGAATTGCCGCCCACGGTGCATCGACCACGTTCTGTCTGACCTTCAGCTGCTTTCAAGTTATCTAGAACCCTGAATAATTACAAATCTGGCTCCTTAGGGTCCCGTACTATACTCATACTATTAAACTAAACCCGTTCTAAGTCAGTAGCTGAGTGGATGCACTTTAAACCTTTTTGGGACAATATTGCCCACTATGAAACTAAAAATGTACACTTTGGGGGGGCTCATGAACTCAGCAACTTATATAGATCAGTGAGACTCTAACGTTGCAAGCGCACTTTTTGCCCCAAACCCGGGCTCAGGGTTCGAATCTTGCGCCCTGAGGTCGTCAAGTCTTCAAGCATAATATGGGAGATTTCGAAAACTAGGGGTACCTTATTTTGGGGGCGCCCTTATAATACGGATCCTACTATTCAGGGTACTGTCCCCTGTTTTCGGAAACTCCCATATAGGAGCCTGATTAAGGAACATTGGGTCTTTATGAGGGTTCCTTACATGAGCCCTAATATATTGGGGCTATAGGGCCAGGGTTTCTTAATCAGGTTCCTACATGACACGACATCTGGGAACCCCAGCACCCAAGGCCCTGAAACCGTAAACATGTAGGAGGCGCCTGAAGATTATGGGAGAAATTTTGGGATCTACAAAACCTACATAACGGTATGTGCAAGTAACTACAGGGTTCCCTAGAGGGTCCACATGTCTGTTGAAGCTACGGAGTGATGCAGTCCGGCTCAGGATGTCAAATGCAAGGCAGCTCGGGTGGATAACATGACTGCGAAGCCGGAGGATGCTGCAAAGTATGGATACCAGCTGCTGGGGAAGCACAGTATATCTTTACCGGGCTGCATATTGCGGATACCAATGTCTAGGTAAACGGAGACCGAGGTTTCATAAATGAAACCTAGATCCTCCATCTACCCTCTATTAGACCCTAAATGTGCCCCTTTTTGGGGACCATATACCCCTATTTGAGGGTACGAGGAGGGTCATAGTAGGTTTTAGTGTTGAGGGTTGAAGGTTTAGGTTGTAGGGTTTCGGGTTGAAGGTTCATCAGCTGCTGAAATGTAGATCCTGCCTTTTCAGAGTG